CCCAACTAGATATGAACTTTAGATAAAGCAACGGGGAAATCTTTGGCCGTAACAATAAGTCATTATCGGTCTTTATAAATGGCATAATGGGTTGACCGATATGTTCCATAACAATTTTATTACTAACAAGTAAATTACCCTTCTTCATTGGTCTTTCAAAATTAGTTATGAGAATATTTCTTATAGATGCATCAATATTGAAGTTGCGACCAAATCTGAAAATAGGTAAATTACTCGCTATGCATACCTCTTCAAATATGTTGGGAGAGCATGATGGTGGTGTGACTTGAACAATATCTAGCTTCGTCTTTGGATGACTCTCCAACGCCTTTTCATCATCTTTTTCTTTATTCCGTGCATCATTACCTTGAAGATCCTTATCAGCCAAACTTTGCTTGGCTAATTGATCTTGTCCTGGAGGCTTGTCAATTTCTATGGCACGGAACTCATAGGGCAGGAAGTAAATTCCATTAACTTCAGAAAAATCAAGCATGATTGTTTTGCTATGCTTGCCATGCCCTTTCTCAATAATGCTTGCCTCTTTGGATTTGATGGATTCAGAATATATACTACTTGATTCGGCTTTTTCAACCGAACCACTTTCAAGTTCCAAATCACCTTTCTTTTCATTGATACTACCAATTGGCAAAGCTTCTTTTATCTGAGCCAATTCTTTTTCTATTTGTTTCTGGCGGCGAGCGACAAAGTTGGCTTTAAGCTTTTTCTCAATTTCAGTCCACTCCGGATACGATTGCCCCCAATGCTTTTAGATTCTTTCGGCAATGACAGACGGGTGTTGCCGAAATTTTGCAATAGTGTAGGGGGTGTATAATATGATGTAGTACTAGGTGAAGGCATATGCATTGTTGTAAAACCATATTTTTGCTCGCCAATTTTATCAATTGAAAAAGATTCATCTTCTTGCAAAACTTTAGCTTTTATTGGGGCATAATCAGGAAATAGCCCCTTTTCATGTTGTTCAAGGCAAAGATCACTAATCCTCTTATTTTGGGCTAAACTCTTCAACACAGCCACCACTACCTCATCTTCTACAATATTGGGCACAACCGCTCCTGTAAAATTTACATTCATTAGGCTATGACCAGGAAGGTCGGAAGTCGAATTATGAACATCTACAGTTGTGTATGATGCTGAAAAATTATTGTCATGATGTGTAGCATATGACGGTTGGGAATAATTGGCCAAATAGCTAGTAGTAGCATGGCTAATTCTCTCGTTCATCGGCATGGTTGAATTACTATATTGCACATTACTTGCCGATGAATAAAAGAGTGAAACACTTTCTTGCATGGCATTGGAAATCCTAACATGAGGTGTTTCAAATTTATTAACCAAACTCACCATGTTGTTCATCGGCATAACAATTTGTGGGGTTGCCGATGCATTAGAGTTGGGATACATATGATGCATGTTACTAGTATCATAAAAAGTTGAAGCATGTAAATTACTTTGAATCGGCCTATGCACGTAATTAGATGCATGATTGAACAAGCTAGGGCTGGCCGATAGAGTATACTCATTGAACGATCTAGTAACACCATATGAATTATTTGCATCTACAGTAGGGAATTTGGTATTCATATTACCTTTGTAGATTGCAAACTCTAGATGACGATCTCTTCGTAACAAGAACGGGCTGGAGACCGTTCAAAGCTTCGATCCCCAGCGGAGTCGCCAAAAAGTGTGTTCGCACACGAACACGTCACCGTGTACCTCCAACGCCGAGGGTGATGCACCGCAGCTCACGTCGAAGGAGACCCGCCGGAAGCACGGTACGCAAGACAATCCGGCGGGCGCTTTTATAGACCCGAAACCCCACACGCCCGGGAGGGACCCCGTCAGGGCGCGCGGCGGCTATGGGCTGCCCTAGGTCGTCCTGACCGCCCCTAGGGCCTCGAGGTTCGCCGCCCTGCAACAAGAAGAACGAACGAAGAACGAAAAAGAAGAAGAATAAGGGAGAGAGATAAAGGTAAAGGTAAAAAGTGGTAGATGATTTGATCGATTGCGTGTTGTTCAATCTGCCGTCACCCCTTAGGTATATAAGAGGGGGCTGGACTTCCCGTGCAAGGAAAAGGCTTAGATTCACGTCCAAAATCCTAGTCAAATTCGGATTGGTTTTGTCCGAATTTTCCAAAACTGTTCAGTCTAAAACTGGCTGCATACTGTGGGCCTTCTTTGAGGTGGTAAACGACCTCGGATGGAAACTAGCCCAAAAGTAATCTTGACCGTTTTGACGAGACGAACAACTTTCATGTTGAATTTTTTTCATCAAAGGTCATCTCGAGGGTCAAATCCCTCGCGCAAAACAGCTAATTATTCACGCAGCACATCAAACATACCCTCGTATGTGTCTGGTTCCGGGCGTCATATTTTCCTCACTGAAGGGTCGCGCTGTGCGGGCTCTAACTTTTCCATACGACCTCAGATTTGGACGATCTTTGTATCAAAATTGATCGTTTCGACGAGACGCACAACTATCGTGTTTAAACTTTCTCAATTTAAAGCAAGCTTAATGGGGTTTCTAGCCATTCTTTAATCTGGTGTCGACATGAGCATCTCTGAACTTTGTCATAATTTTTGCATCTGAGCTCCGCTTTAGACCATCTTCATATTCATCTTGATCTTCTCAAAGAGAGCCATCTCATGGAGACTTTCAATAGTAAGTTTGAATTAATCTTGACACAGCTACAAGCCACTCTTGCCACTTTTGAGCGTCAACACCAAACTACAACGGTTGCAACTCGGAACGTAGTCGCTTCCAGCAAAAATCCATGCCGCTTCCTGCAGTTCTCCATGACGGTTCCAGCAAAACTCCATAGCCGTTGCAGCCAAAAACCTCGCCTCATAGCGATTTGAATTGCCGGTTCAAAAATTCTACCACCGCAGCTCTAGCAAACTCGATGGGTCGGTTGCAGTAAAACTCGAGTCTTCCGGTGACAGCAACTCATTTTGGGATCGCCGGTCGTAGCGGCGCCGGTCATCGTCCCGGCCCCCAGCTTGCAGCAAAAAGAAAAGGAAGAAATGCAACGGGAGCAAGGGAGGTGGTGATAGCAAGGGGCGAATCCCAACCTTGTGCAGCTGACTGCCGGTGGAGTGCACGAGATCGGAGATGGATTCCCAGCTTCGTCGATTTGTTCTCGGGAGGGTTGCCTTTGTCGCCATGAGCGGGATTTGCGAAGGGGACAAGGAAGATGCGAATCTCAGATGGGGGAGCGAGCGCTGCTGGGCCGTCAGGTCACTCCCGATCCAGCCGAACGCTTGGCCGGCGCGCCGGGTCGAAATGTTTTCCTTTTCCTTCTCTCTATTCTCTACTTGTCTCTTGGCACAAAAGCACACCGTGAATACAACTTAAATAGCCCCATGGCCACACACACGCACTAGCCCACTAAGTCATGTATGCATAACTCAATGAAGTGCTCCACTAGCTAAGGGCATGTATAATGGTGCTATCTTAGGAGTGTCACGTAGGATAAATGATGAGCTGGAGGAGAGAGAACTCATAAGAAAAGTCTTGTCTTCTCTTATTTAAGAGAAGATAAGAGATGATCTCTTAGCACAATATGTCTCATCATATTTTTAAGAATTGCCTGTTATTGAAGATAAGACTAAGATATGACCCATTGTAGACTCTTTTTTTTTGTCATCTCTAGATTACATGCAAGACTTAAGATAAGACTATCTTATCAATCATTGTACATGCCCACGAAGGATAAATGATGAGGTGAAGCAGAGAGAACTCATAAAAAAAGGGTTGTCTTCTATTATCTAAGAGAAGACAAGAGATGATCTCTTAGCACAATATGTCTCACCATATTTTTAGAAATGACTAGTTATTAAAGATAAGGCTAAGAGATGACCCATTGTGAATTTTTTTTGTCATCTTTAAATTACATTTAAAACTTAAAATAAAACTATCTTATCAACCATTGTACATGTCCTAACTAACTCCCCACATTTACATGCACGCCTATGTCCATCGCGTGTTCAGCATCTCCGTAACGGCCGGCCACATGACCTGGACCCCGTGTAACACACACGTACACAATTAAGTACTACTACCTTCGTCCTGCTTTCTAAGTCATGTTTGTATTTTTGTGTCTAGAGATTTAACTAATAAAATACAAATGCATGTCATCAAAGATTATATTTTTGGATTCGTATTCGAACATTGTTTCCAATTATATTATTTTTATAACATGCATTAATATTTTATTAATTAAATTTAAGGTCAAAATATGAAACAGAATATAAAGAGGACTAATAAACCAAGACGGAGATAGTAGCAAACACATGCATGCACTTAACTCACCAAAATCTTTTGGCTCCAACTTATCCATCCAGCCCATCCGTTCTTGCTTCAGCCGTCCACGGGCTTGCCGCATCACACACCTTGCCGCCTCGCATAGCACCATAGCTTCACGCCATCGTTGGCATCTCGCCATACTCTCCGTATCGCACACAGCTTAGCATCTCGTCTTTTCTGCACGCCTCCGCCGAAGCTTCGCCGGAATAGCTACTCACTAGAACATCTAAGTTACATGCGTAACGAAAACAAACTACAATACAGATAAAAAATATCAGGATTAGTGCTAACAAACCCTTTTCATTAATTGCTCAATGGGGAGAACATTGTTTTCTAACATCAGCGAACAAAAAGAGCAAAACAAATGAAACGAAAAAGGGGAGGCGAGTTGGGGCAATAGAAGGAATTAAGCGAGTGCTCGCTGTCGAAACACCCGCCATGGGACGAAAACCTTCTAACACCATAATTCAAGAGTTCCTAAACAGAATAACGTAGACCCATGCAGTGGTTACACAAGATGAGACCGAAAAACAGAATAATCAACTACTTGTCCAGGCATCATGACCACCACTGCATCACCTTCTCAATAACTCCTTGCTCCCTGCAAACTTAGATTCCATATTAATTGGAGAATTTAATTAGAGATCGGTGTCCATGTGTTCCCGTAGGATTGCCGTCACCGGCCACTGACGCTGCTCATGACCAACGTTCCAGAAATCAGAGTATTAGTCGGTGGCCCATAGGTCGCCACCGGCATCCTAGCCGGGAGGGTCGGCAACGGCGCATCGAACCGCAGCATGTTCATCGCTTGTCTAATGGATGGCCGCATGCCACGGTCAGGATGCCCACACCAGAGCCCCACGACCATCACACGCTCAATCTCCCCGCTATTAAACTCCCTCCTAAGCCGTTCGTCGGCAGCATCAAGGATTGATCCTCTACCATACAAGTCCCACACCCATTGAACCAGGTGGATGACATCGCCGTCCTCCTGGACCTTAGCTGGCCGCTGCCCTGAGGCGACCTCGAGGAGGACAACCCCAAAGCTATACACGTCTGATTCGACACTCGTCCTGCCCGCCAGCACACTCTCCGGGTCTATGTACCCCATCGTGCCGGCTATTCCGGTCGTGTGCGATCTTCGACCGTCGTTGATGAGCCTCGCGAGCCCGAAATCACCTAGCTTGGCGGTGAAGGATGTGTCTAGCATGATGTTACTTGGCTTGATGTCCCTGTGCACCACCCGCTGCTCGATGTCTTGATGCAAGTACAGAAGTGCAGAACCTACTCCGAGCACTATCTCATACCTGGAAAATGTCAAAAGTATCACGGAAGTGAGCAATGGCATACAGTAATTGTTGAAAGATTTGTTCAAATGGTTAATTGACTAGGCAACATACCTAATTGCCCATGTCAGCACGAAGTCGGACCCGTACAAATGAGTGTCGAGGCTGCCATTGTGCATCAAGTCATAGACCAGGAGGAGCTGGTCACCGCCATGGCACCAACCAATGAGCTGCACAAGGTTCCGGTGCTTGAGCCGACTAATGATCCGTACCTCGGTGACAAACTCCTTCCAGCCCTGTCGAGAGGTCTCAGACACCCTCTTGATAGCCACTTCGTGGTTCATGTCGCTCACAAACCCTCGGTACACAGACCCAAAGCCTCCTCTCCCAAGCGCTCTGTCATCTGAGAAATTATCGGTCGCAATAGCGAGTTCATTGTAAGAAAATCGCCGGGGCCCAGCAACTCCTTGGTCAAGCTCATCGTCGACAAGCTCACCGCGAAAGAGTGTTGTGACCGCTTTCAGTGGTCGTTTTGTTTTCTTGATGGTGTTGCGCCTTCGGCTGCGGCGGAAGAGGATACAAATCGCTATGGTGAGAGATGGTAGGAATATGATGCAACCAACAGACGTGAGCACCACTACTAATAGTTGGTGCTTCGAGTTCGAGGGAGACGCATCTTCTGCATGGAAAATATGGAGCAGATGATATGAAAGACATACATGCGAAAACGTTATAGAGTTTCTTATGAGCTGTATCAGAAACCATATCAATTTAGTTATTTACAGTGCACAAAAAGATCTGATAAATATTCTACGCACTGTCGTACTAACGTGTTGTTGACTTTCAAATTTTCAACTTTATATGTAGTGCTCCTTTTTTTTCTGAATTCCGATAAAGATATGTTGTGCTCTTCGGGAAAAACAAATAGAGAAATTTCTATGCACAAATCTCAATGCAAGGAAATGGACTACTAGATTAGAGACATGCATGGGAGCTCGATCACAACTTTCTCTATATATGCATATGGTAAATTAATATAAGACTAGCCAGCAGAAAATAAATTTGTGGACAGAAAAGGAGAATAGTGTGGAAGGACCTTTGGAAGGAGTTGATTGATTTTCAACTATCACGGTAACAAAAACCCAATCCCATCGTATTCCTGACTCCCGTCCGTCGTTTGCTCCGCAAGACCGCAACCCGCAACACTTGGGTCCTCCCCTCCACGACAACATGTGACCTAGAAATGCTTCTGTTAGAGCATCTACAGCCGGACGTCTTAAACTATATATTTTTTTACGAAATCACCTCAAACCATCTCTCATACGCTCGTGGACACATCCAGTCAGTGACCGGACAGGAGAGAAGAAAAAACGTGACCCAACCGGACACCACATATCATCCCTATACACCCGGGCTGTCCGTGAACCCTCATATTCATCTCAAATATGAGGAGGATATGAGAGCTCGCGGACGCGGCCGGGCACACCCGGGCAGTCTGTCACGTAGGACGCGACCCCACTCCAAACCACCTTTTCTCTTTCTTTATTCATTCTTTTATTGCTCTCGCTTCATCTCCACCAGTCACGTGCAAGTGACCGGACATATGAGGAGGAAAATGAGGAGTGTGGCTGTGCGGACGAATAAATAGGGAGTCAAAACGGACATATCCGGTCACTGACTGGGCGCGTCCGTGGACATTTAAGGGGTCATATTTGCCATGTCCTGCTGTAGATACTCTTACCATCTCCAGAGGTAATCCAAACGGTGTGTCATCCTACTTTCTTTTTACTACTTTGACATTTTGTAGTATCCTCTGCCGCCGCCTCCAAACCTCTCTTCGCCCTTTCCTTCTCACCATCACCAGTTGGTGTCGCTAGGGCAAGGCCTCGTGCGGCGGACAGAGGCGGCAGGACCTCTCACGCCCTCCCGCACCTTGGATTGGCTCCTCTCATCGGATTCTTGACCTCCCCAAGCTCTATGCCAACCGCCACCATTGAAGCTCATCCTCCTCCAGCCGCTGAGGGGTGGCCGCCTAGTGTGATTCTCCCTGGCTCCTGGTCGCAGTCCGACGGCCAACGTTAGTAACGCCATCTCCAAGTCAGGCGCATCAGTGCCTAGATCTGGGTATGTCGTCGCCTCTGGGTCATGGGAGTCGTAGCCAGAGAGGCCACAATGTCCCGTGCCCTGGACGAGTTTAGTGGGTTGTGGGTACCAATGCTATATCTCGTGTTCCCGAGCATCATCGACATGGTTGCATCTCCCGATCCGGATATGCATGGCTACAAGGTCGGGGTTCTCGAGGATGGGGAAGGAGATGCCTTCTTATCCCCTTCACTGGCGGGTGGTGGTCTTGTCGTCGGGCAGTGGAGTTGGTGTGCAAGATCTTGGATGCCGGGGCGGCGGCCCTAGAAGGTGGACTGCGCGGGCGGCTCTCTGGCGAACCTTGTGGCAGTGGTGTTGCGGGCCCTTGGTTGTGTGCATGGCAATGGTGTCGGAGGTCAATCCGGCAGAACACGGTTAGGTGGTCCCGAGCTGGTGATATCGGATGGATGGTAACTGGAGGAACAAAAGACACAACATTTATGTTATATTGATTGTGAAGGGGTAGAAAGTACAGGATGATCTATCTCGAGATATCCCTCGGCTTATATAGGGACTGGGGTTACCTAGGGTTACATGTAGGTCGGTTATATCTGGGGATAAGCTTGTGGTTAATTTGAACATGTCTTGGAATGTGAGCCAAGTATTTGGAGGATTCCATCTTAAGTACGTCAGGGACCATGGAAAACATGGCCCATTCTTTGGTTGCCTGGGGTCCTCGGCCCGGTCCATGACTTGGCAGGCTGACATGGTAGTGATACGTCTCCAACGCATCTATAATTTTTTATTGTTCCATGCTGTTATATTATCATTCTTGGATATTTTACAATCATTTTATAGCAACTTTATATCACTATTTGGGACTAACCTATTGACATAGTGCCCAGTGCCAGTTGTTGTTTTTTGCTTGTTTTTTACTTTGCGAAAAATCAATACCAAACGGAGTCCAAATGCAGCAAAAAAAATTGGTGATTTTTTCTGGACCAGAAGACACACGATGGGCCAAGGAAGTACTAGAGGGGGGCTCCGAGGGGAGCACAACCCACCTGGGCGTGCCTAGGGGCCCAGGCACGCCCTGGTGGGTTGTGCCCACCTCGGTGGCCTCCCGTGCCGCCTCTTTGCTCTATAAATACCCCAATATTCCAGAAACCCTAGGGGGGTCAACGAAACACAATTCCATCCGTTGCAAGTTTTAGAAATCACAGATCCAATCTAGACACCATCGCGGAGGGGTTCATCATCCTCATTGGTGCCTCTCCGATGATGCGTGAGTAGTTCATTGTAGACCTACGGGTTCGTAGTTAGTAGCTAGATGGCTTCCTCTCTCTCTTTTGATTCTCAATACAATGGTCTCTTGGAGATCTATTTGATGTAACTCTTTCTTGCGGTGTGTTTGTTGGGATCTAATGAACTTTGAGTTTATGATCAGATATATGTTTTTATACATGAAAGTTATTTGAGTTATTTGATCTCTTATATGCATAATTTCTTTCAGCCTCATATTTCTTCTTCGAATCTTTGGTTTAGTTAGGCCGACTAGATCGATTTTTCTTGCCATGGGAAGAGGTGATTTGTGATGGGTTCGATCTTACGATGCTCGATCCCAGTGACAGAAGGGGAAATGACACGTATGTACCGTTGCTATTGAGGATAAAAAGATGGGGTCTATTCCTACATGAATAGATCTTGTCTACATCATGTCATCGTTCTTATTGCATTACTCCGCTTCTCCATGAACTTAATACACTAGATGCAAGCTGGATAGCGGTCGATGTGTGGAGTAATAGTAGTAGATGCAGGCAGGAGTCGGTCTACTAATATTGGACGTGATGCCTATGTAATGATCATTGCCTGGATATCGTCATAATTATTTGAAGTTCTATCAATTGCCCAACAGTACTTTGTTTACCCGCCGTATGCTATTTTTCTTGAGAGAAGCCACTAGTGAAATCTACGGGCCCCGGGTCTCTTCTTTATAATATTTGCCTTTGAGATATATTTTTATTTGCTTTTATTTTCAGATCTATTAATCCAAAAACCATATATACCTTGCTGCAAATTTTTTTATCTCGCGTTCCCGCAAGATCTATTTATCCAATCTACTACAATTTCATTTATCTTTTTACCCGGAAGGGATTGACAACCCCTCTTTTACGTCGGGTTGCAAGTATTTATTCTTTGTGTGTAGGTACTATTCACATAGTGTTGTGTGGTTCTCCTACTGATTCGACAACCTTGGTCTCATCGCTGAGGGAAATACCTACCATAGTTGTGCTGCATCATCCCTTCCTCTTTGGGGAAATACCGACGTAGTTCAAGCCGCATCAAAAGGAATTTCTGGCGCCGTTCCCGGGGATACATCATCAACATCTATCAAGTTCCTAATAAAAAAATCTCATCTCCTTGCAATGTACATTATTTGCCATTTGCCTCTCATTTTCATCTCCCCACTTCTAAAACGTTTTTTGCGAAAGCACAAAAATATTTGCCTTTTTATTTGCCCTATTTTCATTTGCTTTTTTCTCGTTGGATCTTATGTTTGCTTGTGTTGCCATGTGCTTCTATTTGCTTGCATCTTTGCTTGCTAAAAATCTATTGATATGGATCCTCACCCACTTGCTAATATTTTTTAAAAATCCAATTATGATGAACCAATTGCTAGTGAATTGAGTTCACTAGATTATCTTTATGAATTTTTGCTCGAGATGATTGAATCTAATTTTTTTATGAAGTGTTAAAATAAGAAATTTATGAAGTGATTCACGATATCTCCTTGAATGAAAAGCATGATTGCAATGATGTTATTATAAATTCTATTAATGTCAGTTGTGTTAATACTATGCAAAACCCCAAGCTTGAGGATGCTAATTTTCGTATGTCCACTACTTGTTGCAATGATCATGATTGGGGTGATGATTCCTATGATCTTGAAAATTTATTTAAGCCTCATGATGAATATGTTTGAGATAATATTGAAAGTGGGATTGGAAGAGCGTCAACTTTAGATAAAAATAATCTCACAAATTTGGAGAGTGTTCAATCTTATGATTTTTTTTTATAAAAGTGGGTTCGTTGAGGTCATGACTTTATTTGATAATAATCCCACTATATCAAAAGAGTGGCAACTTTGCATGCATGTGGATCATGAAGAAAAAAAATTATATGATTACATGTGTTTGTCACATGCTATATGATGCTTTCTTTGTGCTTCAGTTCTTGTCTTTCATGCGAGCATCGTTAAAATTATCAATGCCTAGCTAAGGGCATAAAATGATAGCGCTTGTTGGGAGGCAACCCAATGAATAAAATTTATTTTTGCCTTTTCCTTTCTAATCTTGAGTGTTTGCAGAATTATGCTACTGTTTTGATTGTTTTTTTATGTTTTCTTTAGTGTTTGTGCCAAGTAAAGCCTTTGGGATCTTGTTGGGTGATAGTTGATTTGTTCTTGTTGGAAAACAGAAACTTTTGTGTCCAGTAAAACAATTTCCAAAAATCATAGAATTGACGAAAGCTTCTAAATGTTTTACACAAGATTGATACACAAATTGCCTGCATCGTCCTAATTTTTCAGAATTTTTG